TCCTATCTCCCTACTCTTGTTTATGTTCTGAGATCTGAAGCTACAAGCTACACTGCTGCTATAAGCAAATTGTAGGCTAAGTCATAAGTGAAAGCATACAGTAAGTGATAAGTGGAAACATATAGGCTAAGAAATTTTGCAACAGTGGTACTTACTTTCCAAGATGTGGCAATTAAAGAAAGACATTTGTTTCACTTACTGTATTTATTACTACACTTGCTCCAATAGCTTATTTTGTGTTGTTAGTAGCTACTTTATCAGAGGATTTCATACAAATGTTTCTTAAAAGAAGCCAGAGTCGCATCAACAACAATGGGTAACTTGTTTCAGATTCCTCACAACGCTGCGTCTAAAAAAATGTGCTTGTGCAGTAATGTGGTTACCAAAATTGTGCATAATAACCCAAATGAGGATTCGCCATTGTATTGTAGAGCTTTTACATGAAATCTATCGATTTAAAGTCTAAACTTTTAAGTATGGTATATCCTACCAATCTGTTTTTATTGTTTCCACTTATTGTCTGCAAGATGAAAATGATATGTTAACATAGACAGCTTTTCTTAGCTTCTTAGGCTCAGTGTTTCTCACCTTAAAGTTTGTATTTCATGTTCATGGATGTTAGTTGCTACGGTATCATTTCGAATTCTCTTTCCGGCTTCTATCATGTTTTCCTAATCCCACTTCCAAAGATTGAAGTACAGTATAAGTTACGAATGTGACTATTTTACTATGTATACCACAATGTACTGTAGGTTATCAACAGAAAGAGCAGCAGTCCCAATATAGATCCCTGTGGTACTCCATTATCTACATTATTTCCCTACAGTTTGAAGATTCACCCCTTATCTAGAGTCTCTGGTAAAGAAGGCACTTCTGTTTTCATTTAAGTGTACTTTACTTTTGTTATTGAGTTTTTTTAATCAGTCAGTATGGAACTTTCCTTCAAACCTTGGAATGTACTGTATCTGGTTGCTCCTTACTGGGATGTTTGTATAGTAGCAATATAATTTTTTGTGGTAGCCAAAATTGTTCACAATACAAACTTATAAAGTCTCATTAATGCACTGTACAATAAAATATAGCATCTCTTGAAATAAATGCTACATTTTTAACTGTAAATATGTACATTCTATTTGCCCTTTTTTGCATCTGCACATTCTCTAGATGTCAATAATGTGTCAATGTACTGTAAATACGTAAGGCATTTCTGTAAGTAGCGTGTTCAAGCTCTGTGTTTCCCCACACAGCATCTATCATTTATTTTTCCTACCCATTTGTAACATCTTGACCTCAATCAAAATCTTTTAAAATGTCATTTGCTGCTTCTGCAGTGCTTCCTAATCATCCTACAGTAGCATTGTTAGCAAAGTGGCGTAAATAAAAAAAAAGAAGAGTGGAACTAATACATGGCCCTGTGGCACTCCACTATACATCACCCCAATTGGTACATTCAAACATTATCTGTACTCTGTTCCCCATCAGTAATTTAACCACTCCATGGATACTACTGCACACCCGTCTTAAAAGAGTGCTGGAAAAGTTTTGTGAGCATTCTGTGAATAACATCTCTTGGTTCCTGAAGCACAATTGGTACAACACTTCTGAGACCTTCAGATCTGTTTTTCTACTTCCAGTAATATATCTGCTTTTCCTAAATTCATAATATTTAAAACAGAACTTAGTATTTGCTCAGCCTGTGACATGTTGTCAGTTTCGGCCTTGGTGAGTGCCTGAATAAAACATTAATTTAACAAAAATATATATATTTTTTGGGGGGGGACAGTAGTGCGGTGGTTATCATTGCTGCCGTGCAACACTTAGATCAATTCCTGGAGTACTGTCTGTCTGGAGGTAACATGTTCTGCTTAGGTCATTCTTGCCGTCTGCCATAAGACTGTACAATGCATCCACCTTGCGTCTTGGCAGAGGCAACAGCGACAGTGACCTGTTTCTGGACTAAACGCATATACACATCTACTGCTACATCTGTTCTCTTTCTTTTTCTTTTTCCCGTTTACAACCACTTTTGTGCAATATATGCCAGGGACCTGTGCAATACATTTATATTTATATTTATATCTATGGTTACATCTATATTTATATTCATACGTGTGATACGATTTTCTGTGTACTGTTCTGTTCTAGTTTCCTCTTGTGTGTCCGGACTGTGAGTAACTCTTGTATTGTATTGTATGTATTGTACTATTAGTATATAATTCGTTACACTGTGGCTGTGTTGTGTGTGTTAAGCTGCTGTTGCACTGCAATTTCCCTCACGGGATCAATAAAGTATCTATCTATCTTATGTTTGCAGGGGTTTCATCCCACAGTCCAAAGACATACTAGTAGGTTAATTGGCCTCTTGGGGAAATTGGCCCTGATGTGACTGTGGGCGTGTTTGTGTCTGCGCGTGCCCTGCAATGGACTGGTATCCCATCCAGGGTGTATCCTGCCTTATGCTAGTTGCTTGTCAGCGATGACCCTCATGACCCTGAACTGGATAAAGAAAGTTGGAAGTCGAACGGATGGGTGGATGATTTTTTGGGCAGTGGAGGCTTTTCAGTGCTACTGCTGTACTGCTTATTGCATGGTACAGTGTAGGTGTCTGACTTTAATTTGCGGCTGATTTGGAAGAAGCTTAGAAAGCGTGTGTTTTTTAAACCACTGATGGCAGTGGTTGGAAACGAGGGTATGGTGAGGGAGGACAGGGCTGGTGGGTTGAGAGAAAATGTTATATTGTTTTGTTCTTGCCTTGCTTCCTTTTTGGAATCTTTCAAATTTTTAAACATTGGTTCCCCAGAAAGTACCCATCGATACTCATTAATGCAGACATATCTTAACACATTGGCTTCTTTTCCTAATGCTGTTCACTAATAAATCACTAATGCCATTTTGTACAGAGTGTAAAATCCACCGTTTTTTCTTTTACCTCAAGAACTGCATTACATATCCTTTATTTTGTTTTCAAATTGCAAATACTAGACTTAACAAATAAATCTACTGTACAAGCACCTTTACAACGAATGCTGGACGAAGGGATGATAATACATCCAAATGCGAATTTGAAAAAAAAAAGGGTTTGTGTACTTTGCTGCCCTGAAGTTGTGATTATAGATTGATTACAGTTTGTATTTCATAAAATAATATGCACACTGTAGAGCTTGAGGTAAGATTGTGTATTCTCTAGCCCTTCACACCAAGACTGTAATGCCATGAATATGGTATAAAAAACATACATTTTACGACTCTAGAGGAAAAACACTGTACGCTTATACTATGGGTTATTAGAAAACAAAAGACATTAACAGAAAACATTCAGCTGAAGATGTGGTAACGAATTTTTCCGAGCTTTCTTAAATATATGCAGAGCTCAAACAGCAGGAGGTAACGCTTCGATCACAATTAAACACAAAAAAAAATATAGGTGCGCCTTATAATTACCACGATTTAAATCTCATCACTCCAGCACGCGCCTTAGTGGGCTCACCTGATGACAGGTTGATTTAAAGAGAGCCCAGGGTTGTAACAGGAAAGTGAAGTTGTAACCGTTTTCAATTTAAAACTCTAATTATTAACTCACTGAAATATTCCGAGCTCGTAGTTCTTTTTTTATCCAAGGTTTCGCAAGGAGCGTTTAAATAGGCGCTTTAGTTGTGGAAGGCCTGGAACAGCTGTTGTTCTGTTGCTAGTTTATTTTTTTACTGTGTTCTCGCTCATGCACTTGTAGTTTCTATCAGCAAACAGTGTCAAGATGTTCAGATATAGCCCCCCAAAAGAAAATCACTCCATAATCAAAGGCTAAAGAATCTGATACACGAAATACTGTGTCTGATGTTACATTTAAGAGGTAACATTTGAAAATAAAGTTGCGTTGGAACGTTTTCTTTCTTGATACTATGTGGTTGACACCACTTAGGACATAAAACTGAAAAAGTATCAGGTTTTGTCCTCTGGCGCCACCAGGTACAACAGCCGTTATTTAGCTTAACACGGAGTCATCGGTTCACAGTGGTTCGAATCTGTAAGGTGTAACAAAATAGTACTTTTGTTGATCGTTCATAACGGTGAAAAGGTTGTTTTCGTACCAAAATAATCATTTTTAGAAAAGGGGCAATAATTATGTGTAAAATACAGTCACATCTCAGGATAATTGTGTATAATACATGGAGATAAGAAGACTATTTTAGTAACTACCCGGAAATTCATTCATCCCCTCTCTCAGCTACATGTGGTTATTTTCAAAGAAAAGCGTAGTAATTAAATTTAATTTTGGAAGTAAGTTATAAACTCCTCTGTACCACATATAAAACGTATTTTCTAATTACATTTAATCCGCCTATGGATTGCTTCGGCAAACACGTTTACGGTTTACAAAATGAATATTTTCCGGAGATATAAATTATTTTAATTGCCGCTGTCTGAATGTTTTTCAAAGAAACGTTTAGCCTATTGGGTTAACTTCATAGATTTAATTTAGACATCAAACTTTAAAAGAATCGGGACTTTAATGGGAATATTGTATATCGTCCTCCTGACAGCCTTTTTTCACACAGCATAAATTTAAAGAAAATATAGCAAACAATTCGCAAGGGATGGGGAATAGGTCAACCTGTTTAAGAAAGTTAAAAGCTACTCTGTTATCTAAAAACGTCTAAAACAACATATTGGAAAAACCTGACCTGAACAAGGCACTACAGCCTTAGGTGATCTAAACCACGAATGTCTTCATAATAGAATGCTTAGCGTGCTACGTCACCTAATTAGCCTTATCGAAAAAAGTTATAATTTCTGTCCGTTGTGAAGGGTCCTGCTAAAACGTTTACTTTGCAAGAACAACCACACAAGTAGTCTAGTGTTTTTTTAAATACAAAGCTCAACTACAAAATCTGACACATTCAGCGCTTAATACAATCAGACTTGAACGGCTTTACTTCACTTGCAGTACTAGTTCCAGTACAGTGAATATCGAGCTTGCAGGTGAATTATAAGACCAAGCCTACCTGTCCCGGGTTATTGCTCTTCTTGCTGACCACGGCTGGCTTGAGACTGGCGGAGTGGTTGGTGGATGGAGTTGGGCTCTCTCCCAGCAGAGTCGATTTGATGGAGTTCACCTTGGATCCGGAGCCTTCTGCCCTGTGCGAACTCCCCAATATGAAAACTGCAGCCAGCAGAATGATACCACACCAACACCTAGTCCACGCCAGCAGCCCCATTTTTGAACACCAGTGTATTCTTTAAAAATGTCCAATTGAAAATTGTACCTCAAATGTAAGTGTATACAAATGAAATTGAAAACTATGTGCTGCGGACAAAGGTAAATGCGTGTAACTGACGATCTCAGAAGAACTGAAAAAAGACGAATGCGATCACCTTCTAAAGTTTTATCTAAAGCTTGTCCAGTGGTAGCTAGCACAGCACTCACAATGGATCACAACCTTTCAAAATCAGCAACAACAAATAATAAGAACTGAAAAATCATAATATGCATAACAGAGAATCGTTTTTGTTGGTCTTGATGCGTTGAATAGACAGTCTGCAAAGCAACTTGTGCCCGATGCCAGGCAGATTGTCCCCAGCAGTGTTTGAGTGTCAAGTGAGGCAGACTAGTACAGTATTTTATGATCTCAGAGACTTTCTTTTTATAGGCTCCTAATGGGCTTGTTTCCTCCGCCCCCACGGAGAGAAGATTTGACAAAAGAGTGAAACTGATCTCACAGTGCGGCTAGCAGTTCAGCAGATCGCTGCAGTCTGAACGCCCTAGTCCAGACACACAGACATCGGAAACCCCTTCGGGGAAAACCGATCAAGCACAGCGCGACGCATTCAGTTGCTTATCGGACGCCTTTCACCGTAAAACGGTTGTATGCTACTGAAACAGTAAAAACAGACGGGAAAACGTGTTCTTGTTTTCATCTGAGATCTCAGCATTGAATTTTGCAGTGCAAATGGCTATGTTGTATTACAATATTATGTTACTTCAGCTAGAATTTCGTCTTTGCCCCCAGTATACAGTACATAGCGCATCATTTATTTTGTACCCACCCCTGTTCTATTGTTCTGGCTTAGACTTTCTTATAGTAAATTATAGTAGTTACTGGTGATAGTTTCAATATCTATTAATAGCTACAAGTGAGGAACAAATCTAAAGATTTTAAAAAAATGTGTTCTAAACACGTCTCTTGGAAGTAAACAAAAGCTGTTTAAAGACAATTCTGTTAATATACATTATAGTTTTCTTACATTTATTACCGAGTTATTATAAAAGATATTATAGGGTTTGTGCGGCAATATTGTGCGTACATTAAAACTCGAGAGTCATTCATTTAAAGGTAAATGTATCACGTGCATTCCGGATACAATTGCACGTCGATCACTAAGAAGAAAAAGATGTGTTTGACTGCACAGAGGTAATCATTTTGATATACATACATGGGGGTTTGGTAAGATTATCATTTTCTGAAAAACATTTGATAGGATTAACAATATAAAGATCCTAGACTGTCTCCCTTTGTTTATGGTTGTTTTTATTTACAAGGAATGAATCGTGGTTGTAGTAGCCCAGTCTTTGATGGTTCGAGCAAAGTTTTTTTTTCCTGCAAGATAAAGCGATATACAGTAGTCGAGTACAATGCCTTATTTCAACTGATTTTAAACACACGTCTGTACTGTAGGATTGCTTTAGCATTGGATCTTGTTAAGAAAAAAAAAACTTTATGGTCGACTTTACCAGATTAGATCGTTCTTTATGATTTGGAAATAAACACAAATATATTTGAAATGGTCACCCTACACATACAGCATGCTAGGGTCGAACCTTCACACATAAAACACAAGTAGCATTATTCAATTATCAATAATTAATAATTAAGTATTATTTAACCTTAGTAGCCTACTTAACATTATTGTATAGACTAATACGACTTCGCAAAAAAAAAGACTACTATTCAAATTTGTAACAGCCAACATTTTGCCTTACGATTTTTTAATTATGGAAGTGAAAGAATTTTCCAACAGCAGTTCACATAGTTCAAAATCATAGGCGTATCTATATATTATATTTCAGAATTTCCAGTTTTTTTATTTGATTTATATCTCATTGAATTATTAGAGAGTAAACGAATAAATGCCTGTAAAACATGTTTTTTTTTAAGAAAACGGACTTGGTATTAGAATCAGTTGATTCATATGACGGTTTTTCAATCAGAAATAAAGAGAAAAGGTTGTTTTGATGCATAGCTTAAATACATTGTACTGTAGAAGATTTTTTGAAGTCTATTTAAGAATTGCTAGTGGTTCTTGCGAACTATTATCTTCACAGTGAATAAGACGAATGAAGAAGCTCAGATCAACCGTCATACTGTTAAATGCATCAGGACCTAATAAAATATGAAACCACTGGGTTATTATGAGAAATTGTTTTTTAATCTTTCACAGAACAGTACAGTTTCTGCCTTTCTTGATTAGACCGGACATTAAAACTGGTTTTGCCTGTACTGACATTTAATGTTGCTCATCTTAATGCATCAAGCACTGTATTTGATATTTTTGCGCTTTTGACGTTTTGATACGAGTGACATATTACTGTCTTTATCAATCTGTTTTTTTCCCCTCTTAAAAACAATAAAGAACAAGAAAAAAATCTAACTTCATTAATTAAGACATCTGCCTCCGTGGAACTCACGAACGATATACAGACTCTCAGAACACTGAGCTGAGGGAGGAAGAATTTATCAAGCTCCCTACTATTTGTAGCAATAACACTATACTGATTAAAAGACAAAAACGAAGAAATAAACGAATAAACGAATGACTATGATCGCCGAAAGGTATTAGGGATCGTGTGGTGACAAGTTTAAAAAGAGCTTTAAACCTACTGTTCAGCTACAGTCGGAAATACCGCAATAAATAAAAGCTCCGATAACTGTTCCCCAAACTGGTTTAACGGATCACGGACCTTAAGGAATTAAACGGTACATATTGCTTTTCTCTGTAGCTAATGCTTTGAACGCAACACAAATATAATCTGAAGTAGTCTAGACTTCTTCTTTAGGTGGATCGTATTTGTGCTAATTTTTTTCACCCCTGTGAACTTTTGTTTGATGTTACAGTTCTACGGTATATGGCTGGACTATTTTTTTATTTGGCATGTTTCGCATGTAGTCAAGTCCATAGATTTCACAACTATTTTAATATTGTATCATTTTTTGTAAATAATCTAAACTCCTTCATTTACAGTGATATTATGTATTGTACTATTTTTCTCTTTGCAATTAGTTTACTGCATTCTGCTTCAAAAATGAGTATTTTACATGTTGTTTTATTTAAAAATAACTTTCCATCCATTATTGTCACCCTTGCAAATAATTTGCTTTTACCGAGTTACCGACATGAACATTTCTGTTCTTATGAACCTGGCTTTCATAGTGGGTGCCTTGCAACATCTTTCTCTCTTAAAATGAGAGATGACAGGGAGAAAGCTGGAAGATGTTCTCCTTGCATTTTTCAGCGAATTGCGCAGCGTTTTCTATTTCCTTCATAAAACAAACACGATACATGCAATCAGCTTCTTAAGCCGACCCTAGCCTTTATCGTCAAGAACTGGACGTTTTTTGTGCTTTACGGTGCAAGACACTGGCTCATTTTGTTTTTCACTGTCCCTAGATATAAGGATGGTTTGTAAAACTATCTCCACATGAAGCGAGATTTATGCCAACGCTGCCAGAGCACATTCAAGCATGTATAACAAGGTTCAGTGGCACTGAACACTGAATCACCTCCTTCCCGCCGATCCCCACCAACCAATTCACCATTCCACTACAGGAATTCGGGCTTTGAGTGTAGCAGACAACGCTGTTGTCACTGGCGCTGTTTGTGCTGATGGCTGTAAAAGGGTTGGAATCACTCACCAAGGGCAGAGCTGTACTTGACCCTGAACACATATACAGTAGTACGACATATACTCTACATCAGCAGAAGTTTATACCTGCAACAAAGACTCAAAGGTATCCAGAAAGCAACATGGTGTTTAGGCACTAGCATGTTATCAAACACACGTGCCAAATGTGATGTTGTTGATTAACTATCTTCATCAATCGGGTGGCTCAATTGGGGATCTGCTGTGAAAATCTCTGCTTAGTTGCACGTGAGGCCATCTTTTGAAGCAATACACACACGCAATTTACCATGTTGTAGATGCTGTCTTCTTTAGTTTACTTCAAAATCATGGGTGTGGATTCTGTCTCCCCCTGACGATATTCTTGTTTTGAATTGTTATATGTACTCTTGTTTGTATTGTAATGCTTTTTCTTTGGTTAAGCATAAATAATATTAAAAAAAAGATTCTGTCCCCTTCCTCTTGTGCAACAATGTAGAACAGTCGGTGTTGTCGTCACGGTTTGTCCCACAAATGCTCAATGGAACTCAAATCAGTTAGGTTGTCTGCAACATAACTGTCACGTTCTTTTCACACAGGAAAGGCGGGAAAGCTCGCAGGACAGACAGCAAGTGAGGTCCCCGGACATGGATGAATGCAACACGTGGTCCCATCGTCCACCAGATTGTGACCTGTCACTTTTGGAATGTGTTTGGCTGTAATGTCTTGCCAGCTTAGAATAGGCTGGCTGGTGAACAATCTGGACACCAAGCATCAGTGAGCGGCTTTAATCGAGCCAAAAAGGCATAGTTCTCATAATAAACATTCTGGTTCTTTTCTGCATTGTTTTGCTCAGCTCTCACCAGGTGTGACATACAGTAAATCTCTTCACGTGTACCCACTCATATCTCTGACTAAGGAAGCGATTTAGTTCTTACGCAGCACTCACCTGCCACTTGTGCGTGTCACAAGCAAATCCCGACAAAATAAAAATCTACGTGATATCTAAAATCCATGTAATGCATTTTTTCTATAAACATATTTAGAATGACACAGTTTCATTGGGTGCTGGGTCAAAAATATTGACTGCCTAAAACAAAGCTTCTCAAAATCTGTCACTAGATACTCTGAACTACAACAGCAATTGAATGAGTCCCTGAAGGGTAAGTCAATATGTTCCTACATCTTGATTCAATCAGAGTCGATTTGCATGCCTTTTTTTAGGATTTCAGTTTCTTGTATAGTATAAGGTGCAACCCACGTTAACTTTACTGCCCCCAGTGGTCACAAAAAGCAAAGAAAGTCACACAAAATAACGAGTGGTATAGTATTGCAGGAGTTTTTTAAACGTTTTTTTTATATTTATCTTGTACAAGACATTATGACCAGACTGCCTTCCTGTAATTTCTATATGACCTACCTAAACTAGAAGAAGAAATATATACATTTTGAATCATTTTGGTCCTAAGATATGAAAAGCATTAAAATTATGTTTGTATTTTTATATAAATGTTTTATAATAATGGCCTAATGCTATTCCATTCACTGATGCTTTTATAGCTCTGAGGATATCACAGATTAAGCTGCCCTGTACAGAGAGCTCTGTCACTTTCTTGTCTCACTTTGCAGGGTAAAAGTTTTATTTTGCATGCCACTGGACCGTAAACCCATGAGACATTAGAGACTTCACTTAGTGTAACATTCATCAAATTCCTCTTAGC